GGGGACTTTAAGGAGGCAAATGATCACCTTAAGCTTGGCAGATACTTGAGACATTGTGGGAGGAGAGCTGTGCTAATTCAAGTAGCAAAAACCAGGAGGAGCCTAGTAGTTATGAATTTTATTAGAAGATAAAAAGCTTATGGTGACTGTTTGCAGATAAGTAAAGTAACTGTTTTCCCCTCTTCAAACTCACTTCAGAGTGATGCAGCCTGATTTAAAGAAGGCTTGCCTGGTAAATCACAGTTGGCAGGTTGGCATAGCATGAACACCCAAAAGCCAAGAGACAACCTGAAGACACATGATGTACGAGATAAGATGGGACACCGTAAAGCAACTTCACACTCCTTAAATTGCCAGTTTTTTGTACACCTAACAGCAGCCATCTGATTTTCCAATAAATGCTAACCTAATGTCTGTTTTATGTACTTTCAAGCCTTCAGGGTTGAAAGATAAATACCCTGTTTTAAAAAAAATCCTGATCTCTGAACAAGTGCAAAGAAAGACAACAAGGAAGATCTGGGAAGTCTCAATCTTAGAAGGAAGGATGGTGGGAAGAGGGCTAATTTAGTCTTGAGAAGAGACATTTCAGGGGGTGTGAAAATATTCTTCAAGTGCCTGAAAGAGATCTGACAGAGGAAAGTTGAGGTTTGGGTGCAGTGTTTAGCACAGTGGTCTTCAGGATCATGAAGGCAAATTCAGTTGTATATTAAGAAAAATGTCCTAACAATTCACTCGTGGAACCCAAACTAAGAGGGGCAATAACTTTTGCACCAACAGATGTGCCCAAGCTAAGGCTGGACAGGTGATCAATTTAGATTCCCGTACCAGGAGAGCAGGTGAACTCAGGGGCTTCCGCGGCCCCTTCCCACTTGTCCTCCAGATGAATACATTCTTTCCGGCTCAGATCTGAACTGTGAAATAGACATCCCTTTCTCACTTCCCCTGATCTGGTTTGTTTCTATTTTCGATTTTAGCTGGGCAATGCCTGCTACTAGCCAGCCCAAAGGAAGAGTTCTTTTTCTCTGAGTAAGTTCCATACTTTTGCTTGTTGATAAAGTCCTTGCAAGTTCTTGGTGGTTTTCCAGCCTCCCACAGAAGAGCTGGTGGAGGGAAAGAATGAAAAGCTCAAATAAGACACTTTTTAACCTGTAGCTTGGTGGGTGGCATGTTTAATGCTCTCTTTGCCCTTGCTTATGAGCGATGGATTGTTCTTGTAGGAAAGCCTGGATTGGAATAACACTTGGTTTGCTTGTCCTGCTTTCGCTCAGCGCGTTGGCGAATGTCAAGCTGTTCCTCTGCAACTCCACAAAGTGTCACAAACGTGGCCAATACAGCTCTATCCCCCTGGAGGACATGAATGGGGAGACCAGACACCGGGGTCTGCCGGACCCTTGGGAGATCGACGACCCCACGGAGACTGCCTGGGACTCAAATCAATTAGAAAGTGTTGAACTGCTCTGATCAAAAGAGGCTCTCTTCCATGGAGCAGAATCTTCTGGAGATGCCATCAGTCTTCAATGCAGAAGTTTGCTCCTTCCAGTGGGAATTGGCTGCCATTTTTCCTTATTGCCTTAGCTGGAACCGGTGGCCTAGGAGCCAGGGTTCAGGGGCCATGAGAGCTTATGGTCCAAATTGTATGAAAATACCATCTCCCACCTGCAAGTTTTGGAAAGAAGGTGAACATTGGTCACTGGAACTGGCCATCTCCCTAACGCTTCAACAGAACTGCACAGCAGCGTCTTCTCATTGAAATGCTGTAGAAGCTGATGATCTGAGAATGGGGAAGTAATTTTTGGATTGTTTTATGAGTGAGGATTCCTCCTGTCTGGCAACAGCAGGGTGCTTCCTTCAGAAACCTTATCCCAAAATGTTTATTTGTCCCCCCCCCATCCCTTCCCGTCCTCCACACACCAGTCCTCCTGAAAAAAAGGGGGAAAAAGGCAAGGACCTTGTAGTTCTCTGGACGTCTTTGGACCACAGCTTCCATCATCCCTCTTGGTGGCTTGGCCACCTAGAGCAGATGGGCTTTGGAGCTAACCAGTTTTTGGAGAGCTGCTGTTCCTCTAAACGGTGCTGCAACGTGGGCCAAGTGTATGTGCCAACCTGTTTTATTACTGCCTCCAAATACATGCGCAGGAAAGAGGTGGAGTGTTATGTTGTGCCTGACATGTTAATGCTGTGCTGATAAGCCAAACCACTTAATCGGACTGCAGTGCTGCTTTCTGATGAATTTATGAAGGATAGGGTGATGATTAGCAAACCTGAGTTACTGAACCCTTGGGGACAATGGAGAGGACTTTATCTTCTTCACCGTTACTTGTACATGCAGATTTTTATGCCAGCTCTTCCCATTCAGTGCTTTTATTTAACAGCAAACTTTGTTTTTTACTTTTTCGTACACCAGACTTGCACTTGGGTTGTGTAAGCTACGGTACTGATCTAAGGCAGCTTGGAGGTTCTTAAGTGGTTTTAGCAGACCGCAGCGGGTCCCCATCGATGTAATCGGTACCAGCTTGACTCTTAGGAATCCCTGCTTCGCAGGAAACTTGCATTTTCGTAGAAAATTGCATTTTTGTGACAGCTGGCAAAGCGTATTCTGCAATGGAGAAAGCATATCCTTCGCTTCCAGATCAGGCTGGGGAGAATTGAAACCAGAAAAAAGCATTGGCCATTTTAGACAATGTAGAACCCTTGAGATCAGGTGGAGTTTCGTGAGTGGTCTCTGAACAGTTTAAGCCAGTGTTGTCCAAACTTGGCCACTTTGAGTGGACTTCAACTCCCAGAATTCCCCAGCCAGCCATG